CTTTATTTTCATTTTCTTAGTTGGTTTTTTTTTTTGTCCCGCTGGGGCTGCGGAGGGGTGGGGGGTTTACAGTCCCGCCCCCTCGCACTGCACTGTCTCTCTGCTCCAGGGGCAGAGGGGTCTTCCCAACCCTACCCTATTTTCGGTGATTTTTTTGTGTGAGAATATTAATATTAAAAATAAAATAAAAAAAAAACCTTGTGTTTTGATAATGTGCTGGTGGTAACTGGGAAGACTATCGGTTGGAGGGCCGAGAGACCGAGATTGATTGATGGGAGGACTGGTCAGACACGGCGGTGGCGAGCCCCTCCCCAGGCGCCTGTGGAATGTCCAGAGCTGTGGTCCGCTTCTTGGGATGGGGGTGCCTAATCCTAGAGCGGCATTCCAGGATAAGGTGGTGGGGGGTGGGGAGGGGAGAGGCTGCTCCAGGGGAGGGGCAGGAAAGAGGGCTATAAGGGCCGAGGCCCTGCCGGGCGGTAACCAACCAGGCCATGGCGGATGTCCCCGGAGCACAGCGACCCATTGTTGGCGGCGGCCCGGAGCCCCGGGATCCCCTAGACTGCTGGGCCTGTGCTGTGCTAGTAACAGCTCAGAATCTGCTGGTGGCTGCCTTCAATCTCGTCCTGCTGGCGCTGGTGCTGGGGACAATCTTGTTACCCGCTGTCACCATGCTGGGCTTCGGCTTCCTCTGCCACTCTCAGGTGAGCTTGTGCCCCAGTGTATGCGGGTTGGGGGGAGGTCTTTGGGCCACAACGCATTCCGTTCCGGTTACAGTGTGGCCCGGTTCGGCTGGCGTCTGATGCCTCTTCTCCCACAGTTCCTGCGCTCCCAGGCGCCCCCTTGCACCGCGCACCTAAGGGACCCGGGCTTCACCGCCCTACTGGTTACTGGATTCCTGCTTCTCGTGCCGCTGCTCGTGCTTGCCCTGGCCAGCTACCGCCGTCTCTGCCTGCGCCTCCGCCTGGCCGATTGCCTGGTGCCCTACAGCCGAGCCCTCTACAGGCGCCGCCGCGCCTCACAGCCCAGGCAAACCCCGGCCTCGCCAGCATCCCAGACCGTTTCCACACCGGGAAAGGTCTGGGTCTGAGGTGCGTTTGAGTCAAGAATCCAAGTCGACAATTCTCCCTCCTGGCGGCCCGAGGACTTGAAGCCCAGGTGTATTCTGTTCCGCCCTGCTTCCTTACCCTTTGCACGGGTCAGGTCCTAGCATCCCTGTGGTGAACAGCAGCATCTGTGGACCCAATGGCGGCAAAACTCCCATGCCCCAGAAAATCTACTCTTACTACCCACATCTGGATCTTGAACATTTGGGCTGGACCCTGCACGCCTTCCCTTCTTCCCCTCCCTTGGAGTGAACAGAAGAGTTGAACCTTGTGCCCTCCTTTTCTGCTGCAGCTTCTCTAATGTTTATGGGACTGAGAGGCAAGGATAGGGAAGAAACGACTACACCAATAAAAGAAATTATAAAATGAATGCACTTTGAATACGGGTGGCACAAACACAATCGCCCCTACCCAGGAGCAGGAAACGAATCCGAGACTACAAATGCGCAGACCAGAGCATCCTTCAGCATCCTGCCTTGCCCTTATCGCACTAGTCCGTTCTTCCTGGTCAGACCCTAGAGTTCTGACCCTGACCCCAATGTCACCTCCCCATCAATAGAGCAGAGGAGGCCCTGTTTCGGCAGCCTACCTAACTCCCCTTGGGGACCCGAGCCCGTTCTCTGACCCCAGCGTAGAGGAACTCAGTATTGCCAGGCCGGGGTGGGAAACAATGGGGCTTCCGGAACAGGATGACACCCCCCCGCCCCCGCCACAATCTGGAGCAGCTGCGTGGGAGGGAAAATGGAGGGGCCCACGCCTAAAGGCCTGTTGGTCTGCAGCTAACAACTTGAGGGAGGCTTTGGTGCTCCTGATCATTAGGTTGAGAGGGAGGGTTGAGAATGCTACTAAACTCAGATAAATCCCCTCCTCTCGGGGTGGGGTATGGTATCCTTGACCCAACATCCGATCCGCATGCAGACACAGGCCACTTTAATTATAGGTTTAATGGTCTCAAAAATGTGCGGTCGTGGTCAGAGATACGGGGCCCCTGCCAGGCTCTCCCTTTGCACCTCAATAGAAACGATGTGGTGTCCGGGTACCATGGCTAGACCCAGCACACGGGGTTCCCCCGCAGAGAAAGAATCTGGAAAAAAGGGTAAGAGCATCAGGAAGGCAGGCCAGCATCTGTCCCGCCCCTTCTAAGCCGGGGAAAAAAGCCCGGAAGGGGAAATGCTTTGCCCGTGAGTTTTCACCACATTCCCAGGCATGTGTGAATTCCCCGGGCACTGACCCGACGGCTTGAGGAACTCCTGCGCAGAGCCGAGGATGACATTACAGTCGCGATCCGTACAAAGGAAGCAGCCAACTAGCGTCCTCCCATCTGTCATACGAATGCGCATAGTCTTGTTGAGCAGCGCCTCTAGTTGCTGCCGGGCACGCGCAGCTGGCGAGTCCTCACCTTCGCCGTCAGAGTCCTGCGAGGAGCAGGACACGCTCTCTGACCGCGCAGTTCAGGCAGCACACCCGCCCGCGGAACCACAGCTCCCAGCAGTCCGCGAGGCGTGCCCGAAGCCCGGGGGCTGCCGGGAGCTGCAGTTCCGATTACATCTTCTCCCGGTCGCCCTTCCCTCTCAGCCCCATCTTGCTGCCCGACTGCTTCTCCGGAACCCAAGCCCACGCTAACCCCGGCGCTGGAGCTGCTCTGACGCCGGCTGCAACAGCCGTTCTCCTCTCGCAGGAGCACTGTTGGCCCTGCCCCGGCCATTTGCCCCCGGGCTTCCTCCAGGCCCTTAAACTTCCTAAGAACGTTTTAGGGTCGGGTGGTCCGAGATCTCGCGAGTGCTCCCAAAACGCTTTCCTTTCGTGAGATCGCCACACCTCCTACTATTGCGGAGGTCTCGCGAGCTTCTCCTTCAGCCAGGGCGCGTTGGTAGACAGTTATATCGCGAGAACTTTACCTGTAATTTCTTATACATCCTTTAGAGCCCCAGAAAGTTGGTGAGAATTACCTCTGTTCTAGCCTTCTCACAATGCTTTCCTGTCTTAGGATACAACTTTTCCTAAATACTGCGTGTAGCCTAGATCCCTCGATCAAAGAAGAATGCGTCCGTTTTCTCCAGGAACTAAATTAATCATTTTATGCCCATACCGGAGTCAGACTATTTCCCGTGAAAACGCGCAGTTCCAGCCCCTCCTTGCTACGTGTTAATCTGAGTCGACGGTAGCCGGAAAAGGACAATGGTTTCCATGTCAGCGGCAAACGCACTCCCCGCAGCTCCGGGACTGGGGGAACTTGTGACTAGAGTGCTGAGGAGCTCTGAAGTAGCTAAGGGAGCCGGTCCCGGTGAGAACAGGAGCCATGCAGCGCCGGGGCCTAGTGGCTGGACCGGACTTTGAGTATTTTCATCGTCGGTATTTCACGCCAAACGAGGTAGCAGAACACAACCAGCCCGAAAACCTTTGGGTGTCTTACCTGGGATGTGTGTACGACCTAACGCCGCTTGCAGAGGAGTACAAGGGTAAGGGCCACACCTTGGGACAGGGCTGGCGAGCTGGAGCTGGCTCTTGGGTGGCCGGCTTTGACAGCTTGCTGCTCCTTCCCAGGGAACCTGCTGTTGAAACCCATCCTGGAAGTTGCTGGCCAGGACATTAGCCACTGGTTTGATCCAAAGACCAGAGACGTAAGCTCGGTTGGAATCTGGGGATGGTGGACTCTGCACTGGAGAATGGGTATAGGGAAGGACAGCCGGGAATAACCAGAACCTGAAATAGTGACCTCTCCGAACCTTGTGTCACAAACTTTGCTTTAAAGATCCGAAAGCACATAGACCCGCTGACAGGATGCTTGAGATATCGTACCCCGAGGGGCCGCTTCGTGCACGTCCCGCCTCAGCTGCCCCGTTCTGACTGGGCCAATGATTTCGGCAAGTCCTGGTGGAAAGGGTCGAATTATCAGGTGGGGCGACTGTCTGCCAAGACCCGGAACATCCGTATTATTAACACACTCACATCGCAGGAGCATACACTGCAGGTGAGAGCTGGTGCCTAGAGACAGACTAGAGAACCAGAAATCTTAACAGCGCTCCAGTTTGTAACCACTGGTAGCTGTATTTACCCCCTTCACATTTTTGATGTGACACAGAAAGCACACCACCCAAGCAGAATTGGGAATTCTAGAAGTATGTTTGGATCACAGCTACCAGAGTCTCCTTCCTAGGTCCAGGACAACATGTTAGTGATGATGGTCCTTAGAAAGGACTTACTTGCTGCTTTGGACAGCAATTGGACTCATTCTATTCCATTGCAAGGATAAAGTGAGGGGGCACTGCCTTTGGCTCTATTGGGTTATCTCTTCGTTAGATGAAGCTTCCATAAAGGTAGAACTTGGGTGTCTTCATTGTTCACTGGAGTTTCAGCTTTGGAGATGAGTTCCTGAAGGTGGTGCTAGTCATTTCCTAATCCTGTCTGCCCAAGGAAGCACTCAGATCTGAGCTCTGTCATTTCTTGGGACTAATGCACTTCTGGTAGTCTCCCTAATTTTCTTAGAGCAAATCATAAAGGAGTTAGGAATTAGGGCCCTTCTCTGGTGTTTGGGGTGTGTGTGTGTGTTTCATATAGAATTCTACTGGTGAATACATCTGTGTTCTCCAGGTGGGGGCTCTGGAGTCAATGTGGGAAATCCTACACCGCTATCTCCCCTATAATGCACATGCTTCCAGCTACACATGGAAATATGATGGGAAGAACCTGAACATGGATCATACCCTGGAAGAAAATGGGATCCGGGATGAGGAAGAAGAATTTGACTTTCTCAATATGGATGGTACACTCCACACACCTGCAATACTGCTCTACTTCAATGATGACCTCACAGAACTATAGGAGATGTGTGCTCGTGTAGATTTGAGTTTGCCTTTTTCTATGCCTTGACGAAAAGAAGCTCGGGTGTGTAGTCACTGGGCCTAGACCTCCATTCCCCTCTGGGGACTGGCCTGTGGTTCTCATGCCTTTCTGAAGTGTAAGGGCCTTTGTCCCTAGTTCCTTTATGATTTTTCTCTAAGAATATTAGGGGGAATCCTAGAAGTGAAGTACTCCTTAGAAATGACAGACAACTTGGATTAGGTCTATATAGAGGCATCAGAGTTCAGGCAGAACTTCTTGATAGCCAAGAGAGTGATACACAGGAATGAAAGGATGGGAGAACGTTTTTGGCAGTCATGGGAATGAGAGTTGTAGGAAGATGGGATTTACAAAGACAGGATTAGGAAATGACTATCACCAAACATACAAAACTAGTTTATTTCCTTTTAGAGGACTGTTGAGCAGCTGAAACCCAAGAAAACACGGATGGTTTTTTGTTAATTCAGGATAGATATTATGCTGGAGGTTTTATACTCTAATACATCTATCCTATAAAGTGAATACCATTAATACTATTTCACAGATAATTCCTTGGGAATTTCCATAGCACAAGGGCACACTAGTTAGTAACCATTAGAGCCACAATGCAAATCAAAATCTGCCCAACTTTGCAAGCCAGGCTCTTTTCAGTGTAAATGGGCAGTTCAATGTCTAACCTCATGCTAACTGCTCTCAGACCAACTATTTGGGTTTTGGGGGTTTTTTGTTGTTGTTTTGTTTGTATTTTTTGTTTGTTAAGATAGGGTCTTGCTGTAGCCCAGCTGGCCTGGAACTTGCTATGTAGATGGGCTTGCCTCAAACTTAGAGAAATCAGCCTGCTTCTGCCTCTCTGACTGCTAGAATTAAAGGGTGGTGGTGACTCTGACCAAGTATTTGGAATGTGAGCTGGTCCTAGCCTTGTTACACAATGGGAAACTGTGGGCCTATTGTGTAGTCAACAGTTTTGTGTTTGAAGGGAGTTAATTATCAGAGTATTCCCTGGACAAAGAGGAGGCAGGGAAGGCTATCAGCCAAGTAATAGCTATTGAGGCTGCTTCCTTGATTGAAGATATCATAGCAGGATTTCTGTTTTGAGGCAACAAGCTAGATATTTACTGACTCCAGGAAAAACTGGAGTGGAGAAAGGGCCTGTAGATCAGGACATTTTGATGAGGGAGCCACCCCCCCCCTCTTTTTTTTTTTTTTTTTTTTTTTGTCTTTCCACAGTAGGACCTGCTACTTACAGAATACAAGGAAGGCAGGGTTGACTTTGTAAGATGGTGACTCTAAAAGTAGAGAGGCTCAGGGCTGGAGAGATGGCTCGGTGGTTAAGAACACTGGTTGTTCTTACAGAAGACCTGGGTTCGAATCCCAGCACCCACATGGCAGCTAACAACTGTCTGTAACTCCAGTTCCAGGGGATTCGACAGCCTCTTCTGTCTTCCGTGGGCATTGCACTACATGGGTGCACTTACCTACATGTAGGCAATACATGCATACACATAAAATAAAAATTTTTAAAAAGTAGAGGCTCAATGGAGTCAGGCATAAAGGAGCTTAGGGAGGCAGACAACTCTCCTGGTGACCAAAGGAGAACCACCATAGTGGTTTGGTTCCCTTTAACCATAGCTATGGAGGGGAACTGAGAATAACCAATCAATGAACATCTCTGTAGCAGCAGACAAAAATGAATCAAGGAGAGTGCATCTTCCTGGTTGGGGCCTCAGGCTCCAGTATAGGGGAATGTGGCCCCCATGAGATAGATGCTGGGTGGCTGCATGGTTTTCTGAAGGGCTGACCATGGGAAGCAAGCACAAAGGTGGGGACATCCCTGTTGATTTCAGCATTTCTGAATACCCTGAGGCTGAGGGCCTCCATCAGTCCGGGTTAGGAACCCATGAATTAATGAATCAATTGTTACTCAACTCTGAAATGACCTCATGTATATCTTGTCTATTCAACTAGTTCTTAGCTATTTGAGAACCAGAGCCATGCTGTTCCTCCTATGACAACCTGTGGCCTGTGCCTGTGGAATGTGCTCACTCTGCTCAAACTTGTCTCTTCCACAGTATCCTACTTCAGTACCTCTTGCCAGAAACACACAACTTTCCTCATATACCCAAGCACTCATCAAGTAGATTCTGTCCCCCAAAATCTTTGGAATCCATGTTTTTTTCTCTAAATAACCATCGCTATTTGCCCACATTGCTAGGAAACTTTTTTTTTTCTTTTTTCTTTTTTTGGTCTTTTTGAGACAGGGTCTCCCTGTAGCCCCAGCTGTCCTGGAACTCACTATGTAGACCAGGCTGGCCTTGAACTCACAGAGATCCCCCTGCCTTTGACTCCCGAGTGCTGGTATTAAAGGCATGCGCCACCACGCCTGGCAGGAAACTTCTTATTTTCTTTCCACATCTGCCTTCTATACACTGCAGTCAGAGTGAGTTCTGAAAAACAACCCTAAACATCTTACTTTTCCTGCTTCGGAGTCTTCAGTGGTTTCTATTTACTTTTGGAATAAAGCCCTAAATTCCAAGAACCCTGCATAAGTCAGGCCTGCCTGCCTTGCATGTCTTCTCTCTGCCCCAGATAGCTTGGCCACCTTTCTGTTCATGAAATGACTTCTTGCCTGCCAGTCATGACAGAGTGTTCTCTCAGCTCACCACAGCTTTACTTCCCACCTAGCTGATCCTAAGTTTCTTAGATTAAATTTTCTTCTCTGCCCCATCCTTCCCCTGGGTTTTCCTCAGTACTACACATTTTTCAGTATTCTTATCACTGTAAAATTACGTTAAATCATGGATGCAAATGTCTGGATGCTAGATTGTAAGCTCATGAGGGCGGAATTCTTGTTCACTGCTGTATTTCCTTTTCCGAGCACCTCGCTGTTGCTCAATAAATTTGGATTGAATGAACTCAGATGTCAAGGAATTCATCCGTCTGTGGGTAGGATGATGTGTCCTGGAGACAAGGTGGGACCAAGAGATAGGATGTCTGGCTCTGGGGTGCTAGGCAGCCTCTTATCTACAGATGTCTCTTTCCCTGCATCCACAGATCCAAGACTCAAAATAACTGCAGTTTTCTTCACTCAATTAGAGGTATTTGGGGGTGATCAACCTGTTATTTCTGCTATGGCCACCAGGTGGCTGTAACGACTAAAGAGTCAGGGAGAGGGGCTATTGGAGGGGAAACGCAACTTCCAAAGAAGTTAGAATTCAAAGTAGGCTTTGAGACTTACAGTGGGGGACGGAATATGCTGGTTAGTTTTTTGTCACCTTGACAACTAGAGTCATTTGGGAAGAGGTTAATTTCAATAGAATTTCCTCCATGATACTGGTCTGTGGGCATGTCTGTGAGGCATTTTCTTAACTGTTAATTGATAGAGGAGGGCCTAACCCCCTGTGGGTGGTGCTATCCCTTGGCTGCTGTGCCTGGATTGTATAAGAAAAGTAGCTGAGTTGGGGCTCAGAGGTTAAGAGCACTGACAGCTCTTCCAGAGGACCCTGGTTCAATTCCCAGCACCCATAGGGCAGCTAAGAACCGTCCTTAACTCCAGTTCCAGGGGAATCCGACGCCCTCTTCTGACCCCCTCGGCATTGCACAGGTGCACTCACATACATGCAGGCAATACACTCATACACATAAACATAAATATTTTTTTAAAAGTATAAGGCATAATTAACCCTTTCCTCCCCATGTTGTTTTTGGTCATTTTATCACAGCAACAGACACTAAAACTAATAAGACAGGGAAATTCGGGGGTGGAGGTGCAAACTGTCAGCATTCTATTAACATTAGGTTTATACCTGACTTTAATTTTTTTCCATAAGCATGCGAAGAAATGCACAACTTAAGAAGTTATTCATGGTGTAGGATAAGTAGTAGATGAGTATGGGTGGGTGTAGCTTGAGATGTAGTTCAGTGGTAGAGCACTTGTCTGACATGCACAAGGCCCCAAGTTTGATGCCTAGTACTGAAAAAAATCCCTGGAAGGATAGGTGTGTATGGGGTGAGGTGCAGAGTTAAGACATGAATGAAAACATCACTGTATTTTTTTAAGACAAAAGTACAGTCTTGCCTTAAACTCATAATCCTCTTGCTTCAGCTTCTTGAGTGCTGGGGTTGCAGGTCTAT